CTGCTGAACAACCTGGTGAGGTTGGCTCCCCACCAGTAATTGCTCATCACTAGTAGCAGTAGCAGTAGCAGTACCACCACTCTTCTGCTTCATCACTCCCATGGCTGTTGTTGCTGTTGTTGTGTTCAATGCTGGCCTAATCTGGTGTGAGAGCAATTGGAGCTGCTGTTCTTGGCCGGTGTAAGGAAACTGAACCTTCTGCTGGACATGAAAATTGGGCCCACCAAGACCACCAACACCGGTGTTGAGCCTCTTGGCAGGTGGGGGTGAAACCACATGGTGTTCTTGCAAGTGGGCATATGTCAAAGGCATGACCAACGCTGATGATGGGTTGTGGTGAGAGAACTGAGCCGCTTGGTTCTGGTTTATCATCACCATCTGGGGGTTGTTATTGAAAATCTGAGGCTTGGCATCCACAACAGACTCCATCAACTGCTGCTGATTATGAAAAACCGGCAAGAGATTGTTGGGAGAAAACATGGTGGGGTTTGTGTTTTGGGCAAGTCTGACATTATTGGTAAAATGGAAATCAGAAGAAGAAAAAGAGTGGGGGTCTATAATATTAGGAGGCTCAAAACCATACCCCCCTACCTGATCATCCACAACTCCAAAACCGGCATTGAATTCCATATCTTGAGAATGAGAAACGCTACCTCCAGTTGTTGGTGTTGTCGTTGTTGTTGTGGTTTCCAAAATCTTGTTGAGGCCGAGAGAAGGGTCGTCAACATCAGCCATGATCAACCTCAAAATGGACTGCTCTTGACCCGGTGACTCAGACAAGACGCTTTCCCAATCCTCCATTCCAAGCCCACATTTTTCTTCTTCTAGAAATGTCGTTGTCAGTGGGAGTTGGTTGTGGTGGTGGTCGGATACCGCCGCCGCCGCCGCAGCCACGCCGGTGGGGGTGGTGTCGGTGGAGTGGGACCCACCACCGCTGTTAGAGCCGCCGCCGCCGCCGAGGGAGGAAGACAGGGTTGAGGAGGAAGTGGGAGGGCTTGGGCTTCTTCTGGCGTCCAAAACTGAGGTGGGCTCAGAGCCCACATAGCAATTCTTGTCTTTGCTGCTTTTTTTGATGGTTAAGGTTGTTGTGTTTGTGTTTGGGGTTGTGTTTATGGTGGTGGTGGTGGTGTTCAGAGTGGTCCAGTTTTGTGGTGAATCTGAAGAAGACGATGAAGAAGAAGAGAAATCTAACACCCCCTTCCCTTGAAACTCCTCAAAGGGTAGGGGCATGGCCTTCATCTAAAGCAAGCAAAACCACAAAACAAAATTCACAACAATTTTGCCCAACGACACCCCAAAAACCTCCAGTTTTTTTTCTTTTCTTTTTTTTTTCAAATAACAAAGCACAAAAAAAGAACTGGGATTTTTTTTTTTTTTTTTTTTTGAGGAAGAGGAAGGTGAGAGTTTTTAGAGGCTCAACAAAGACAAATTTTTTTAGAAACTCATCACACACACCTTAGTTTCGTTGTTGATGTTGCTTCTTCTTCTTCCACTTGCTTCTCTTCTCTCTCTATTATGAGTTGAAAGTCAAATTGTGTTTTGTAATAGTTAGAAACAGGAAGACCACAAAGACCCATTTTTCTTCTCCTCTTTTTGGCTTTCCTCTTCTTGAGTCATCATCTTCTTCCTTTCTTTCTTTCTTCTTCTGTTGGTGTGGTTTGGCTTTGGTGGGTTCTCCTGGCTTCTCCTCCTCTTCTGGTGTGTTTTTTGGAGTATTTTGTCTTCCCTCTGTTTTCTGCTATTTGGATGCGTGCAACATATAAAAGTGGTAAAGTGCCTTCCCCCTCTCTCTCTCTCTCTCTCTCTCTCTCTCTCTATAGTTTTCTTTTCTATTTTTTTTTAATTTTTTTTATGTGGCTTTTGTCTGTAGACGTAGTTATCTCCCTGCTGGGCTTCCTGTCAGTCACTTCAACCCCACTCTCACCCAAGACGCGTAAAACATAATCATCCTTTTTTTTTTTTTTTTTTTTTCACTTGAAGAGAACACCAGTTTCTTCCTGTCATAATTTGAGTTTTTAATATGAAGAATTGAATTATGTGATAGTGATTAGATAATGAAAGAAATGTTTCATTGGTGTTATGCAATTTTAAAATATTTTGTTATATAATATGATAAAAAAATATACTTATTTTTTAGAGTTAAATAATATTTCATTGACACAACACAGCTTGTAAGTTCTATTTTTTTTTATTATTTTGAGGTAATCTAAAGTTTTTACTTTAAAATCACTTAGAAGTATATTATATTAAAACATAGATAAATGTTGAATAAAAAACGATAAAAATTTAGCAGCTAAAAATAGTATCGTACACTTATTGATGTTAAAAAGAACAGTGTCTTCTTAGACTTATCAATAAATTATTCTCTTGAGATATTACAAATATATTTAGGACTCATTTAATTTATTAATTTAAAAATTAAAATTTTTAATTTTTAATTTTTAATTTAAATTGATAAAATAAATAGAATTTAAATATTTACGCCCGATAATTCAATATTTTCCCTCTGACTAATAAAAAGAATAAAAACACAATTTGAACTTAAAAGGGTATTACTAATACTAATTAACAAATAAAATAGATAATGAAATCGCCCACTTTCTAGTGGTGGGGCGTGGCAGATTTACTCGACAGGGTAATATTTTAATTTTTTTTCTTTTACGGAGACCAACAAGACAGAGAGGAAAAAGTTAACTGGCTCAAAGGAGTTCTGTAATTTAATCGTATCTCCCAATATACCCTCCCAGTTTTCCACTTATAACAACTGCAACTGTTGATCCAAGGCAAAGAAAATGGAGGGTTACTCTGGTAACTTCAATAGAACAAGCTCTGCTTGGTCTGGTTTTCGAAACTGAATCTGACGGCATTATTATGAGTAGCTTTTTTGGGGGTTGAAAATATCGAGACAGATTGGAAGGACAAGATATTTTGTTGTAGTAAAAAATGTGTGGTTAGGATTGAAGATTTAATTGTTTGCAAAAAAACATAAGAAAAAACAAAAATATGTTCTGTTATATTATTGGGCCCAAGCCTTGGGTTTGACTGTTGGGGCCGAGGAATTGGGTTCAATAAAGACGCTCCCTTGTCCAAATTACGCAATCTGCCCTTTTTAACTCTCTTTTTTTTTTTTTTTTTTTTTTTTTTTTTAGGCATCCTCTTACAATTCAGCCTATGATTCATAACGAATTGAAAAAATTACCATTTTTAAGGAGTTGGCATTCAAATACATCATCTCGTAAATCCGTTTAAATTTTAAAATTCACACATAAAAATAAAAAATGTGAATACTAGGCTTTAAAAGTAATACTCGATCCCCTTAAAAAAAAAAAAAAAGTAATAATCGATCTAATTTACTCGTTATCTATAAGTTGATATAAAATAAATAAAAAGCACATAACTCAGTTTAAATTTTGAGTATAATTGACACATAAAAATAGAAAATACAAATACTAGACTTTAAAAGTGATAATCAATCGAATTTACATGTTATTTATAAGTTGACATATAATAGAAAAAAGTAAGTCTAGAAACTTATGGTTTTAAAAAGAAATTAATTAACACACCCTTTATACAAGTTGATATATAATAGGAGAAAGTAAGTGCACAAGTTAAAAAATAATGTCCGGGTTTAGAATCATTTTTTAAAACAATTTTTACGTATTTTAAAAAAAAAGAAAATGAAAAAAACGCCGTTTGTTTAGTAAAAATGAAAATAAAAACAGTGAGAATGATTTTTATGAATGAATTAGAAAACAGTTGAAAGTTATTTTCACTTTTCTGTTTTTATTTTTTAGCACTTATCAATTATATTATAATATATTAATTAACAAACACGATTTCACTTTTTTATTATACTCAAAACAGTCTCTTAAAATATCAACTAAACACAATTTCAAAATCGGTCTCAAAATAATTATTAAAACAATCTCAATTTTACTTTTTATTAAAAATAAAATCATTTTAAAACTAATTCTAAACGCACCAAATGTTTTTCCTCAAAATATTATTGGTTTGAATAAATAAAGCCTGCGGGTAGAAAAAGTACTCGATGATGCAAATATAAATATAAATACGACAATGTTCAGGGTGTTTTAGTCATTTGACATCCCTAGAGTGGCAGGCTGAATGAAGTGTTAAACCATGATCAAGTCTGAACTCAACTTTTAGTTAACATTAAGATTTGGTTTTTCTTTTTTTTTAAGAAATTATAGATCCTGTTGGTTGCCACAAAATGGTTGGAATTAAGTTTTTCATATAGATTAAAGTTTTAAAATTATTTATCTATGAATATTGAATAAATGCATAAAAAGTGTGTTAATGTGGTATATTTGGTGGCTTTTTTATAATATAGTTATTTTTTATTAGCAAACAAAAACTGTGTGTTATATTTGGTACTCTACTCACTCGGTTCAGGGGTGAAAATATTGAGTAAAAAATCATCAATTCATAACATATACAGAAGAAAGGGATAGATAATAAATTTCTGATATTTCACCAATCAAACATTCATATTTTCTTTTTACGCACAATTTTTAACATATTAAAGTATTAACAATAAGTTTAGCTCGAATATTTTATCGTGTGTGAGAATATTATTTTTAAAATAGACAATAGGACTCAAGTAGGCAAAACATATCTTTTTACCTCAATCATGTCGCCGTATAGGATATATAGTTTACCCTTTTAACATTTTTTTTTTAATCCATTCAATCACGACCTTGATTTCTACAGTAGGACGATAAATTAGGTCCGTTTAGTTCGCTGATTCGAATTTTTAATTTAAGTTGATATGTGATTTTATGTGAGAGTTTTTTATTGTAGTAAAAAAGTTAGATGTGATTATTTATGAGAGCTTTTTACTATAGCAAAATTCGAATTCTAAACTCGAATCAGCGAAATGAATATGACTTAAGTGAGAGTGGATTAACAATAGTAGTTTCTATTCAAGTAATTATAAAATTAGTATATCCTTGAAAAATCAAAGCTTTTGACATAATCTATTGATGCGTCATATGGAAGGGGGAAAAAGAAAGGAAAAAAGAGGCCATCGTGTCTTCCAAGTTGCACTGCGGATGTTTCATCTGAAGTTTTTTGTTTTTGTTTTTGTTTTTGTTTTTGTTTTTTGTTTTGTTCAATTGAGGTTAATATTGAAAAAGAATAGAGATAATAAAAAGGACTAAAAAAAAGGACACTTGCATTAAATAACTAAAGGCAGGACAACAAAATGAGAGTGCACTGAATTTGATTGGACTAGTTCATACACAAAATAACAAATAAACAAGCAGTGCTTTAACCCACTTTAAAACTCCCACCATTTTTGTCCATTTCTTTGTTTGAGAGTTGACTATAGTGTGCTGCATTCTCCAACTCCACCGTATGAATAATTTTTAAGTATTTAAGGGTCCGTTTGGATTCACTTAAAAAACACTGTTTTTAATTTATTTAGTTTAAAATATGCTTTTGAATCTGTTTGAATTGATAATTTTAAAATATTTTTAGAACAAGTTATCTCCTTAATGTTTATTAAAAAAGTACTTTTGAAAGGCTTTTTTTTCTTTTTTTTATATTTTTAACATTTTATTTGTGAATAACAAATTAAATACCTTATTCATATCCTTTTATTACATTACTTTTTACAACAATAAGTACTTTTGACTTTTTTTATCCAAATAAATTCAAAAGCTCTTATTAGATATAAAAACACTTGTTTAAGCACTATCCAAATACTAATAAAAAAGCCTTAACTTATACTTATCTTCTTATGCTACTTAAAAACACAAGTAAAAACTATCCTAAACGGATCCTAAGTACGGTAAACACCCCCCTCCCCCTCTTTTTTTTTTTAAGAAAACGTTCGGGAAATGGGCAATAAGCATTAGCATTTTCTCCCTGGATGTATTAAAGGAGTTCTTCAAATATAAACAGAAATGTTCGCTGAAAACTCGTCGGACCTATCTATTGATGATGAGTTTGTCACTCTAATCCCATTAAATTTGCTAGTAATAAGGATACTTGAGTGCATGGTACCAATCGGCACTCTAAATCGAGTACTAGACGCATGCACTCACCTTTGAGATACTTAATCTAAAAAAAAAAAAACTATACAACATTCAAACATTTGACCACATATCCACTATTGTAGTCCATTATCACTAAACCACCCCACTTAATAATTTTGTTAAATTTGAATTTTTGTCTATCACACAAAGAAATACGAGTTTTGATAGCCATTTATTTAATATATAAAGATTTTTTCAATAATTCAACATATATTGATTGATTGTTGATAATATAACTAGAGGTATTTTTCTCTTACCTAACGTCCCTTCCCTAAATGGGATTTGGTTTTTATCATAGATTCTTGAATTCATCTCCAAGTAATTTTATTGACTTAACTAGTAAGTAATTTAATTTAAGCTTTACAATAGTAGTCCTTTTTTTTTTTTTTTTCAATTTGAGGACCTATAGAAGACGTATTGTATTAATAGGCTGATAAATCCTTCTTGATCTTGGTGGATAAACTTAGATGGAGTTCTCTGCTTGATGCTTTGGAGTATAGATTTTTGTCTCAAAAAGAAAAAGAAAAAGAAAAAGAAAAATTGTATTTTATAATAGTTACCATAAGAAACGTGGTGCTCAACTATTAATTGTTTATTGGAAAGAAAGCAAGGAATAATAATTGCCTCAACTATGAGGATTAACCTATAGATTGCTTTGTTTCCCGGGGTGCAAGAAACAACATAATCTTTTCCAAGCCATCTAATTTCTCTCATTCAACTAGTTTGGCCTTTTTTTTTTTTTTCAACACCGAAAACTCTTCGATTG